TTTTTTTTAACTACTCACTAAACACACTCATAATCTAAATATTTTTACTTTCTAGAAAATTCTTCCCCAATCAAATTTCTGACTCACTTCTAGATGTGACATCACTTGAATCATAGGTCAAGTATGATTATTTTCTCACTTGAATCAAAATCGATCATCTTATTTCATTTAATAAAAGAAAAAGTATTCTATCTCAAGAATAATAATGAAATTCAATTAGAATTTTAATGTTGAATATTGCACCAATCGAAATTTGATTTAATGGTGGTTATCTTTTTCTTGTTTATCCACATATATAATCTTGAGCCAACTGTCCAAGATTGTTTAAAGGGATGGATTGTTGATTTTAGTAAAATAGACTGATGATTCTTGGAATAATTCGAACTTTTTATCGCTTTAGTATAGCATATATTTTCCTTACAAATATTAAGATCATGGCCGTGCGTCCCATAGTTACCAATTGCTATTTTAGACTTCACAATAGTAAAATAAAGGAAACCTAAAGCACGCTTAAAATATTAACGTTCCTAGTAGAGTTTAAAATGGGTGTTCATTTTATTTGAAATCCAAACATCTCTACTCTAAAACTCAAATAACAGTCAACTAACAAAAATTAACATAAAGAACATGTATATATAAGATTTTCAGTTGTACAAGAATATAGTTTTATGTTGAATTTATTTATAGAGAGAACAACTATAAAACCAACGAGCTTCTGGGAGATGTACAAACAAATTTACCACAAAGGTAAAATTGATGAGAATAGAATACAAAGATAAGATTCGTTGGTATGTAGAATCTTTTGGTGTTTTCTGTTTCGTAAAAGCTTGTCATTTCTCGTACGTTGGAGTCACTTATTTAAATTGCATGTGATCGGAAAAGGCAAGGGTACGAGATTTTTCAGTAGTGAACAACTTGCCGCTCTTCTTTTCGAGAGAGAGAGAGAGAGGAGTACTGGTCCGAATGTTTTGAATTATGCAGCCAAATCACAGGCTGCCGAATGTGTTCATTCTTAAGTAATTAAGAATTGGCACCTTTTGGGTAAGAAGGAAACTCCCAGAGCTGGTCGTAGAACTCAACAAGTATTATGCTTTCTTAAGCTCATAAGCTCAAGTCCTTCCAATTAAAGTGTCACGATAAGAATGAACCACAGTATTGCCTCACACAGACAAACTAACGGCAACCGACGGCACTTGGAAACAGTGGGTTTGGGAGCACGAGTTGTGCTAAGAAATGACATTGACGCTGATTGATAGAACCAGAATCTTCAATGGCTTTGATTGATTAGATTTAATTTGATTCTTGTTAGGGCAAACACGTTTTTCTATTTAACAAGCGACGTGGATTCACTAATCACTACTGGCTCAGTATTTCATATTGATTGAGTAAAAAAAATTATGTAGAATGATATTTTAGTATCTCTTATATTATCAATCAATCTATAATTTAAGGATTAATCATAGATTTAAATGATTGATTTGATTGAATGATATGAGTTTATGATTAAGAAATTTTTTTTTCTCAAAATCTATACAAATAAATATTACCTCAATGAATAAAATTATTCATCTTCACAATAAGTTTTTCTATTTTATATAGTATTAGAGCTCCCTTCACAATAAGCCTTTCAAGCAAGAAAGGTTTTCTTTCCTCCCTCTCCTTATCTCTTTCTCATCGGAGGTTGCTGACGATCTCATTTCCTTCATCTATTACCACTATTGTCCCTGTAATAGCAAACCCTTTCCTCCATGATCTAGCATCTGAGTTCCTCGAGAACATCTATTCCCTCAAATACCTCAACACCTAAAGTTGTTTAACTTTTGTTTTTTGTTGGGCTACAAACATCATTGTTGCCTTTTCTTTGATTGTTATGTTCCTTGATTATTGATTCCCAATTAATCGACCACATATGCTTGCTTTATTTTGTTGTAGAGTAGCTATCAGAGTTGTTCTCCTTTTTTTATTGTTGCCTTTCCTTAGATCGGATAGCCTCGTCCCATGTTTGTTCTCTCGGAGTTGGAGTAGGAGCCACAGTAACCCCTCTCTTAGCTTTTCTCATCGGCTACAAACTCATTGTCGGTCACTGCTCCTCGGATGCCTATAAATCTAAGATCTCCTAGAGCTTGCTCTCGGGCCTTCCTTGTGACCCACTCTCAAAGTCGAAGTAGGAGCTGGAGCTCTCCTCGATCACCTCCTGGAGCCCTCCCCATATGATGTAATCAAAGAAACAGAAAACAAACAACTACCGATGCTACCATCATAATTCTTCCCTACACCTCTCAAATCTTATCTCCTTCAATAGATTAGATCTCTACCATCTATCATCTGTCAGATCATCAATTGATTATGGACTTT